TACAGTTTATCAATGGACCTTTCAGGAAACGGTGCTACCTGACATTACCACAGAAGTACCAGAAATTCTTGCTGCCTAATGAAGCACTATAGAATTGCTGTCTTTCAGGCATGCAAGATAGACTTTCTGCATCTCACTCAAACACCTAAAACTGAGCTGGAAACTTAAAATGGAATTAAAGTTTTTGTCTTGGGAGCTGCTTGTCTACAGCTTTTAACGCAAAAGCTGCTCCTCTTACAGAAAATCCTCTCACATCACAGATGTTTGGGATGACACAAGTCACAGCAAAATTCATGTTCAAGATTGAGACATATGGGACTGGGTCAAATACGGCTGTTGATGAAGTTTCAAAAACATTTAAGACAGCGTCATCTACACTAAACCAAGAGATGATGTTCTCCACCACACCTCTGTCCTAGTCTAGATTATTCAACCATTTTATGCTAAATAATCAGATTTAATGTGTTGGGTTTGCTCCTCCATTTCTCTTTCAGCAGGCTGTATTTCTCTCTCCCTTTGGGAATATGTCACTAATAGTTTTGCTCCATAACACTGCACTTTATATTCAGTAACCCGTACTTTCTGGAGGTTTCACGTTATTCCACCCTCACTGAAATTTGCTGAGACTTGCAAATTTGACCACTATGCTGTTTAGAAACTTTTTATTGTTAAATAAATATATATGAAGATTTAAAAAAAGCTTATATTTTACCGAGTTCTCCAGTTTCCAGTTTATGATGCAGTACTCATCTGTACATCTATGTATTTTCCCCAGAAAATAATGAATGCATTTACTCAAAAATTCTTACACATTAAAGCACAGACACTGAGCATGTCTATTATAAGAACTGCAAATATGACAGAACAAAAGTGTTTTGCATGAGAAGGACAGGACTGAATGCTTAAATGTAGCTTTGTGATTTTATATTCTGGGCTAGCACCACAGAGTAGGAATGCAGCCTCAAGGCATTTTGGAAGCTGACAACAGCTAGAGCTAGGCTGAACAACAATAATATTGTGATGTGGATGTGAATGGCTTTTTGTCAAAGCAAAAATTGAGTTACTGTGTGCTTTTACAGGTGACATAACCAGGAGGATGGGTTTAGGATGCTGGGAGACAGTTTGCTGACAAGGATATTGGTTTTTACAGCATTTCTTTCAGATGAGCTTTGACCGCAATGCTTACAGTAATATGATTTTAAAAGTATTCTGTCCCTTGCATTCTTATGGCATCACAAATGACAGATCAAACGTCTGTGAAAAATGGTAGGAAAACTCATGACAACTGGGAAAGAAACTGAACTTAGGAAAAAGTTTGATGGGTTATTATGCTACAAAACCCAACAGTAACAGCCTCGCGCTTACTTGCCTTACTTAGAAAAAAAAATATTGCATGTTTCCCTGTGTTAATCTGAAGGTAAACCAGATGGTAAACCAGAATGCCTGTTTCCACACTTTCACATACAACAAGCCAGCATGTGTGAATATGAGTGTGTTTCCATGTTTGAATCAATAAATGGACTGGAAGCTAGAGAAGTCATTAAGGACAAAGACTTGAAGTGACTGCCTTAAACATCTCTTAGCACCTGCCCCAAGTCAGGCCACTTTGCCATGAATAAATAAAAGAGCTCCGTAACCTTTGATGTTAATGATTTGGAAGAGATGCATGGCCACATGTTGTAAGGATTTTTCATTGACAGAGTGCCTTTCATGAGCCTCAGAAGACAGTTCTGGGATTAAAAACTTAATACGTCTAAGAATCATTACATTCTACAATACACAGAAATATAACTGCCTCAAGGACCTCCCCCTCTTGAAATTTTAGTCTGCATTTATCGCTTTTTAAGACACAACGAACAAGAGTCACATTTTAAAACTTACCAGAGAAGACTGACCTTGGGCGCAAGTCCTTATTGTGTCAAGGCTTTGAGATGGCATATGATGCAGACCTATGCTGACAAGTGTCAAATCTGAATACTAGGTTTTGTTGAGGGTATGCCAGATCCTTCCATACTCTTTAATATCCAATGATAATAATTAGTGGAGAACTAAGGGTTGTTATTATCGGTGAATAAACAAAAAATTCAAGTATTTCCTACATGAACATAACTATTCATGATCCTTCAACAGTTACACAATACATGTTATCATATGCTAAGAATCAATGCTTGTTTTGATATAGTAGCTATATGTAATAAGTGCAAGTTGCATCTATCATCTACTACTTACTGGGCAAGTAGTGGTCATGTTTTAGTCAACACTCATTAGGCCACATATGGAATACAGTCAAGCTTGCATACCCCTGCACTGATGAACAAGTGTGTTCAGCAGAGGGTCACCAAGATGTTTAGGGGCTAAAGCACTTGCCCAAATAGTAAAGGCTGAGGGAACCCAGCTTGTTCAGCCTGGAGAAGTGACAGTTTGAGTAGCTTCCCAGGCCGAACAGGAAGGTTATCAAGAAGAATGAGCTAGGCTCTTCACAGAATCTGTTAGTAGTAGGAAAGATATCAGGAAGTGGGTATAAATCAAAACATAGGAGGTTCAGATCATTTATGAGAAAAACTTTTTTACTATTAGGAGAATCAAGCTTTGGAACATGTTTCATGGAAGTATTCTGACTTCTCTGTCCTAGAGGTTTTCAAGACAAAAGTAGATAAAATCTTGAGTAACCTACTCTGACCTTATACCTGGCTCCTAAGGTCCCTTCCAACCAGAATTGTTCTATGATACTATAGCAGAAAAAGCTAAGGCTATGCTTTTCTGTGATACAATCTATTCCAGTTTACAGAAAAACTATAAATGTTGTTGTTTTGAGTTTCTCCATAGCTCTTGACACCAGATTTTCACAATCATGTTGTGTAGGTAATTGTTTTCCCTTTGATTCATATGATTAGTAAAAGTTCTATACCAATTCACATAGTAAGCAATGTAGATTTGATGGCATCTAATAAATCCTAGTACTTCTTGCATTTACTTCAGTTTCTATTTGTAATAACTGCTTTTGTAAATTAGAAACACTACCATCAAAAAGAAGAATGCAACCTCTCAGTAAAATGGAATTAAAAAATACAAGTTTGTATTTCTGAGCATACAGCCAAATTTCCAATTGCTTGGTTAGTACTTTTTTTTCCTGTGAAACAGCATTTTACATAAGCAGTAATGAAGACAAACTGTATTTAGATCAGAGTTGCCTACCTAGTGTTCAAAGTTATTGCAATATGGGACAAGTTCATTAATACGTACATCTTCACAATGACTTTTTCAGATTGATTTTCTATAGAAAGGCTTAACTTACCTCAAACTCTATGGAAAAATCTTGCAGAAGGTAATTAAGCATTACTGAGAGAAGAATGAAAATTATTTGTTCTCAAACACTTGAACTAGTCGTATAGTTCAAGAATAAGCAAAAAAACCCACCTCTACATAAAATAATTATAAAATCCAAACCAAATCAAACCAACCCCCCAAACCCCAAACCAACAGACCCTTTCTGGCTTGACAGTAGATACATTAGGATTCAACTTTGCACTTATTGCTAGGAGATGTGCCATTTGTGTGCTATGGAGTTAATGGGGGAAGAGGGTTGTTTCCTGTATTTCTGAAACACAAGATGTTTTTCCAACTACTTTGTGCAGTTTCCAGAAAACAACATATAAAATACTAAATCAGTTACGCTGAAAACAAAAGCTTGCTGTCCTCTCACACCACAGCATACATGTGGCATGTTATATGGAGAGTTTAGTGATATCAACACATTTATTTTATGGGTTCTTATTAACTACCAAAGTGACAGGGGTGGTTTGTTTTATTAAATTTATTTTAGGGGTCAGAAGAGGCAACAAGACATGCTACACAAACTACATTAAGACAGTCAAACTTGTGGCAACGTTTGTAATAAGAAATATTAAGTTTGAGAAAGAAGTGTTGTAACTTAAAGATCTGAACTTTCAACACACTGAGTTCTTACAAAAAAGGAAACCTGTTACCAATAGACTAATGCTAGAAGGTATGCTGAAACATGCAGTAACTAGTGAGAGAATCAACTGAATAAAGCTATTTGTTTGAAATCTTCTGGGACAAAGGATTTAGAATAGTGCATGTTATGTATCTATGATCTTCTACATATATAAGATTGATTCTGTTAGAATAAGATAGAATAAATATATTGAACCCTCTGACCAAAAAGGAGAGAGACTATGTCACTATATCACTACTAAACTGAACTGGATTACTTTTACTACCTCTTATCCTTGAAAGTTTATCCTTATTATTTGCAGTAGCTGTATGATTACATCACAGCATATCACACAGTGACTTGCAACAGCTTTATGCTAATAATAACAAAGCTTGGTTATCAAGACCCCATTGTTTGTAAATTTAGGAGCTTGCTTATATATATAGTCACATTATGAACATTAGCTTTAGTCTATATAGTTTGTATCAGTTGTCCATGAAGTGACAGATTGATTAGTGTGTTGTTAATCTTAAAGTCACAAATGGGACGTGTCATTTTTATATATGAGTTTCCCACTGATTAGTAATGGCATATATGTCAATGCCTTCTTACCTGGTAAATGACCATACTTATTGGCTATAGGAAACTGACTGTAAAAAAAAAATTATTTCCCTGTGAAGTCTTCTCTTTCTCTTTTGAAATCCAGTTTATTTTTTTTTATTACAAACACAGTTATTAGTTCTGTATTCAATTGTTTTGATTTTGGATAAATATCTCTTCTATGTTTCGAATAGTTTTTCCAATTTTAGGCCATATCTGGGTCTAAGTCATGTTTCCTATGAACAAACATCAGTAAAATAATACAATTTATTTAAATACCTGGCAGAACTTAGAAGCGAAGACCTAACCAGCGAGATAATACCATTAAATAATTAAATTCAGGCTAGTATCTCTGCAGACTACATAGTTTTGCTCACACTTATTAGTAAAAGTCAAAAATAGAGCAACAGGCATTTTTATGAAGTCATACAGTAAAATACCGGGTTCTGAGACATGCAGAATAAACTATTCCCTAGAAATGCAATTTTTTCTCTCACAACAAAACCGACGTTAAGTTTGAAATTTCACTTTGGACACTTCATACGGATTTTGTTATCTTGAACATATTTAAAGCTATTTTAAAACCCAAGTTGATTGTTTAACCCACTTGGAAAAATGCTTTCATAGAAATGGGCTCTTAGAAAGTCAAAACACACCTATTAGATTTCTCTCATACAACAGTACGCCAAGCACCATTTGTACATGCATAATTACAGACTGCCTTTTCCTGGCTCTGCTAATCCCTCTTGATAGTTGGGAGTGTTACTCTTCATAAGGGGCAGACTTTTATAAGAGGAATAGTTATATATAATTTCTTGTCATAAAAATTCCATGAGTTTATACATGTGCTACATCAAGAAAGTCAACAGACTTCATAAGTAGCCCAGGAAGAAGCTGAGGAAAACCACCCCCAGCATACCTCGTTCCAACTCTCATAGCAGCTGGCAGAGATTTAGAAGAGTCACTGTTTCAGCAGAAGGGAAGTGTATTTGCAGAAGGGCTGTGTTACAGCTGCACCACTTACCTGCAGAATGAAAAGATGGATGCTGCAAACTGGCAGCATGTTTACAGGACCATATTCTTTGTTAGTGTTAGACAGGCTAAGAATCCCAGACTCACAGAATGGTGGAGGTTGGCAGGACCTCTGGAGCTCATCTGATCCACAGTCAACCTGAAGGGAAAAGGTGAAAGTTAGACAAGATTCTCTAAACTGAAAAGTGTATTTATCTGTTCAGCACAACAGCACTTAATAACTGTGCTTTGGAAAGTGCTACATTTCTGCTTCTCAGATCTCTCAAATAAAGTATCCAGAATAAGTAGTAATTTTGGAAAATCCTCACCCTAACCCTTTTTCACCTTTATTCAAACCTGTCGGCAATTATCTTTTCTCTCTCATCTGCCTCAGTCCCTGATAGCAAATAACAGGTATATTTTGGTGGGTTAAAATGGCTTGTTAGCTTGGGCAACTGATTTAATATTTTTGTTTACAGCAGCAGAACACTCTCAATAAATGCATTATTATTATTGTTTTTCTGCCTCTTCCATTTCACGATGTGGTATTGTGGTCCTTGATTTTATCAGCAGATAATTAAATAAGTAATGTAACAATTGGCTTTTGAGCACAACAGTTTGAAAAATAAAAAAAAAAATCTCAAAATTTACTAAATATCATAAAAATCAGTATGAAATATTTCATAGTTCTTTGCATTTACCCACATTTTTGCCATTCTCTTATATCTTGTTCTTGACCTGTAACAGTTTCTTTTCAAGTCGTGTTTGAGCTTACGTTTGCTGCACTAACATCATCGCTTTCAGGTCCTTGTTCAAGGGGGATCCTTCCCAGTCATCTGTGGGGTGGATATTTGCTATTTCTTATTTCACTCTGATACTCTGGTTTAATTTCGAGGGTGACAATGTTCTTCCTGTTTAGCAAGAACTTAATCAGACTTAAACCATGCTTAGCTCTCACATTCTATTTCCTTGGATCTTGTAGAAATAATGTGATTTTTTCCAATTTTGGCATACTGCTTTGTAGGTGGGTTGTAGTACAGTTTCCAGTTATTTGAGGAAGCAATTGCATCTAAATTTGTTAACACTTCCCCTTAAGTGGATCATTTCACTGTCTCCTTTAGTAGGAAGTATCTAAAGTAACTGATTGTCCTAAACTCATTTGCATTTCCTGGGATACAAAGTTTTGTTTTAAAAGAAAGTTGAACTTTCCTGCAAATTTTAAATATAGCTATTTGGTTTTTTTGTCATGTTCCTTTCCATTTAACTTTGACTTCTGCTCATGCTGGTGCTGTGCTATGCAGATGTTTCCTGGAACATCTCTTTTACAAAAAACGAACTAATGGGAGTTCTCATGAAGCACTGTTTTCAAAATAGTGTAATAAAAATATTCAACTCCTTCTCTTTATCTGGCCTCACATGCAGTGTAAATACACAGGCTGAGTACACAACTATGAAGACCCTGTAGAATACAGTGTTTGTGTAGACAGCATACAGGGTTTTTAAACAGTCTGTACATACATAGATCTTACACGTTTTCCCCAAATGCAAGCACAGCAGAGTATACAGTATTGATAGGAGCTTGTAAATGATTTTCTGAAAAATGTAATGCCAGAATAGGCATCAAATATCTCAAAAAATATGAGAAAAAATTCTTAACTTTCTGCGCTTAGCTTGCTTTTTTGATTGTCTCATTCAGCATACCCAGATTTTTCCTATTTGGCTTGGCATTGAGGACCTCTGGTCCAAAGCTATCCTTACCTTTATCCAATACAAAAATCCAATTTTTCTGGTCTGTCCCGCACCCAGCAAGGATCTACTTCGTTAGCTCTTGCTAGTAACCCAGTCCTTGCAATACTCCTGGCTTCATAGAATGCAAATAGTATCTTTTCTTAATTACTCTACTAGAAAGTTAGATGATTCCTTTTTATTATTCTCTGCTAGGCTTGTGGGAACAGAGGTATTTTCCTAATAGGCTTTTCATGCATGCACTGTATTAGCAGCTCAGGGCAAACAGAAGAAGAGTAAGAAATAATTTTTGATGTTGCTTTTGAGAGAAGAATAAACTTAAATAATTGCACGAATATATTCCACTTGCTAGACTTCTAAAATAAATAAATAAATTACTAAGGTATTAACTAGGAAACTCAGACATTTTGAAATTCATTACAAAACTCCTTTCTATGAGGTGTTTTGGCTGCAGAGGAACATGGGAGGCAGCAGAAGCTAGAAGTAAGTTTGGATGCCTATTTAAAACATGGTTTGTGACAGAAAGAAAATTCTCAATTTCTTCTTATAGGTAGTTTCTGACAAAAATAATGTTACAGTTTACTAATTCAAAAGTTGTAGTAAGTATTTACACTTGTAATTTAAAGATTAGTATAAACACCTATTTAGACTCTTACTATGAATATATATCCTTCAAATTATCTGGAATCTCAGCATGTTTATAGAAACCTTTTAACATTATGCCCCATTTCCTGCTAGATGTCAGTCTACCATCATATTTAGTGCGATTTCCTGACCTGGTCAGAGATCTTCCTCAAAATCTCATACCCAGTGAACCGAATAGAGGTTTATCAGGGAATAAAGACTTCTTTTTCTTCAAACTACTAGCAAGCTTCCTGTGAGGTGAAGAATTAGGAATCCTCCACAACTGCGGGCAGAAACTTTCAGCTGTTTTGCTCCCAAACTGGAGTTGAGGTTTCTAGAAATGTATCTCTTCTTCACAACTAACCACCACATTAGTTTTACTCTGTTTAGGTTTACTACTGTAGCTACTAGATAAACATCTAAATAAACACTAGATGAACATCTCCAGTGCTCCCTAGCATGTCACACAGTCACAGAACAGGCTGGAAGGGACCTCTGGAGCTCATCTTCTCTGACCACTTGCTCAAAGCAAGTCCAGCTAGAGCAGTTACAAAGTGCAACTGGGATCTCACTTTACTTGGCAACCTCTTCCCACCTGCCTGATGACCCTCATAGGCAGAAGAGTTTTTCCATGCACCAACGTGAGTCTGTTGTCTCTAATCCTGTCACTAGGTATCCCTAAAATAGCCTGCCTCTGTCTACTCTGTACCCGCTCCTACAAGGTACCTGAGGGCAGCAATAAGATGCCCCTGAGCCTTTTCTTCATAAGGTTGAACAAATCATATTCTAGCAGCCTTCCCCCATCCGTCATATGCTCCAGCTGCCTGACCCTCTTAGTGGCCCTGGCTATACTTGCTGTAGCCCTAGAAAATCCTGTTCTTTGGAGATTTCCAGGCGTGGGAAGCAAAAATAATGCTGTTACGGTGGCTATTTATCTAAATAAATCCAAACAAATTAGGAACAATAATAACAGAAAACTTGCATCTTTTCACATTTTGAAGTTTGAACCCAGCCAGACATATACCTAAAAATAGATTATTTATCAAGAAATCATCAGGGAGTAATATATCATATCAGTTTCAAAGGAATTTAGTTCTCTCACCAGAAGGCAGATTTAAATGACTGAAAGCAAGTATGTGGCATGTGTATGTATAAATGTGGTGCAGCTTTATGCCACATACCTTATTCTAACAATTTCAGGCCTGCAGTTTTGGTTTATCAAATCACATATGCTGTCCTAGTACAGCACACTGACATTTTAGCCAGAATGGTAACAAGCTGGGTGAAAAATAATCTACTTATGGCCTACTTGACACATACCCTGTGTTGACCCAAGCTGACTTTTTGAGCAAGACAGTCTCTTCAGCATTGTCCAGTTTTACTGTTTTAAATCTGGGTAGACACATTTCATCTGCCAAGACATGTACTGAGTTAATAGGAAATGGAGTTATTAACAAACAGAAGTACTGTTTGTACCTTCTCAAGTAAAATTCAAGGAATGTGCTTTTGGTGATATCTTGGAGAAAAGGATGACTTCTGCAAAACGGATTTAAGGAAAGGAAACCCACAGAAGATTCGTGACACTGTGAAAAAATATGGATTAAATGTATTTGAGCTGTTGCTAAGAGGAACTGACCAAGCTGCTGAGGTAGCTTAATGACCTGATTAAGATAGTGGCAAGAAACCATGTTCTCTGTCCACCTCAACAAGATTTTATCATACATAATTATACTAACTTGGTATATAGATACTCCCTCTTAAAACAGATCTTGGACTGCCATGTAAATGCTGAGGAATAGACATACATACCAATAGGTCTTATTACTTTTATAAAATTGAACAGAATAACATCCATAGATGTGTAGGCTGAAATTGAAGAGAAACCTTAAATTAAATATTATATAGTTGCAATGCAAGAAAAAAGTACCTGAACTATTTGTGTCTCCAGAAAATGTCAGATTGTTATAAAAGGTCATCATTAAACTGTGAAAACATCTTGCACAGGCCATCATCAGCAAACTGTGCAGAGTATAACACAAGAAAAAATAATTAACTCCTTTTAATTCTTTTCAGTTTGCATATGAAAATATTCTGTGTACATTATTTTAAAACACACAGGGAGTACTTCTCACAGCCCTGCTATTAACAAATGTATGGGAATGAATATACATCACCTATTAAATTTGCTGAGAACACGTCACTGTGCACACTAGCAACAGAAAGGTGTTTTCTGAAAAAACAAACAAAAAACTAAGCAAAACAAAAAAAGCAAACCAAAAAAACCAAAACCCACCCCCCCACCCTCCAAAAAAACCAAACCGCACAAAAACCCCACACTCATTTCAGGGTCCGTGAGAAATTAAGAGCAGGATGGCAAAGGGTGTTTACACAGGCACTCAGCCAGGAAACAGTGTGTTTTCCACAGATACAGTCACTGAAGGAGCACATCTCTGATTTTCATGAGCTCCCTCCCTCTGTTCTCATACCCCTCTAATTTTATCCAGAAATCTAACTGTAGGTGAGAAAATACATACAGTTCTTCACAATGTATTCAAATGCTGCCTTTTTCCTTTAGGTGAGTGCTACCACACTGAGGCCATTTGTAGGAATTTTACCCAGCAAGATAAACAAATGCAAACCCCTTAAGGAAACAGGATAGTTTCACAGTGAATCGTTAGCAAAAATCCGCGTAAGACGACTATAAAGAATTCTTTATATATCTTCTGTGAAATGCAGCATTGCTTATTAGCAAGCTTGATGGAAAACCCTGTGAGATAAAAGTCTTGTCACTTTATTTGTATGTGCTTTCCTGCATCTTAAGTTGCAGCTTCGGATCCCTTAGGATCATGTGAGGCTAGGTTATATATTAGAGAGCTGTGCTATAGTACTGTGAGAGTGTAAGCCTAGCAGCTGGGTAGTGTTATGGTTGCTGCTTTCCTGTGCTAAGCTGATTTACTTGTTTAAGGTCTGACCTCATCATCCTGTCAGTATGGATTCCCACCTATACAGTTAGCAGCAGCTTAGCATCGGCTTGAAGAGCTTGCAGTATATTAATCAGAAGAGAGAGGGAGAGAGCTACCGGTATTTGTTCTTTTGTTGTCTTTTCTTAAGAAGAGGAGTTGAAACACAAGAGATAACAAAGAATCCGTTTCCTTTCTAAAAGAATAGGCTTTTTTTCTTTTTTTTTTCTTTTCCCTGAAAAAAATGTCAGTATCTGGAAAGAAAGAGTTTGATGTGAAGCAGATCCTGAGGCTCCGCTGGAGGTGGTTCAGTCACCCCTCGCAAAGCTCCACAGGCACGGGGGGCTGCCATCAGCAGGAAGGATATGAGCACAGAGGGACACCGATTCAGAACAGGTTGAAGAACCACTCTCGGGACAGAAATGGGCTGAAGAAAAACAGCAGTCCTGTCCACCACAACATACTAGCACCCGTGCCAGGTCCAACCCCAGTGCACCACCGATCTATTCAAACCTGGCATCAGCAACATCTCATTGAACAGCTTCGATCATATGAGGATATTCCAAAAACAAGCACAGAGGAAAACTGTGTCAAAGAAGATTCAAGTAAAACCACACAGGAGTTGCAGATGATCACAGAAGAAAATTCAGATGAATCTGCAGAGAGGTAGGAGTTTTAAAGTCTGCACTTAGAAAGCTGTACTTCTATCCAAGTTATTCCCTGAAACTGTCTTTGTTTTTAACCTGAGTTCCTTCCTGCATTAGTCTCACTTTCTATATGTGCACACCCACACTGAAATTAATAGGAACACATTTACATTAAAAAAATGAGCAGGAACAGTGTCAGGAAATGTTGATCTTTGCTTCAGATACATCATTTCATAACTATTCCAGAAAAATAAAATCTGACAGTTTGTCAAACTGTCTCTATTACAGTTTCCAGCATACTATTTTCTTCTTTATTTATTACGTGTAAGTGCGATAAAAAATGAGCCTTCTGAAATACTGTCCTCATTCTGACGTTATCAATGGGTGCAACTTTGACAAATGGGAAGTGCTGGAGGTGCACAGTCTGTGTGGTTGCCACTGATCTGTCAAATTCCTCACTGCTTATTTTTGCTGCCTTCTTGACAAGTATAATTAACATTGAACTAAGTGGAAAGGAAGCATCATTACTTGCCATTCTTAAAGATTTATTTTCAATCCCTTTACTTTCAAGGTTTATTTAGTATACTAAGACAAACATTTTCTGCAAGGTCAGGTGAAAAAAAATTACAGCTAAGAGACCTTAAATGTGTAAGCACAAAGGAAGAGCTATTTTTGAGATTTTTATACAGAGAAGAAAATATTAATCAGTTATTTTAATAAGCATGCCTTTTATTTTTTATTATTTTATTTTTCCAAAATTGATGTCAGCATTGTTAGCTATACAGCAACAATGTTACCCCACCTTGGACTCAAATTATGCCTCTGTAATGTGATTATTTGCACCTTTTGATGAGATTGCCATCAGTCTTTATGAATAGTTGAGACTTCTTGCATTGCGTTTAAATACAAATCTGTCTTACTTGAAGTTACAGTTTCTCTCAGTAAAAACAAAGCTGACAGTTCGTGAATTTTTAGTTGTTAGTATTTTTCAAGTTGTGCATCTGGTGTAGGGAACATCTGCAGACTGAACACGAAGAAATGCATTCCAAAATGTCATTTTGAAACCAGTATGAGTAGTCAATATGTACTACACAAAATCATTACAGAATAAAATCACTGAGGTGGGAATGTGTTTGCTCTCTTTTGCTTGTTTACCAGTGTACTAGTTTGTTTCAAATGATAGTACACATCTCCTTAAAAAAAGAATATCAACTTAACTTAAAGACAAGTAAGGAATACCAAATAATAAAAATAAGATTTTATATCAGGTGAAGAAGGTGGTAAAAAAAGCATAACCAATTCAGTTTGGAAGGTGCTAAGCCACTAGCTCCTAAAATAAGATATGACATTTTCTCCAGCTATATATAAACTTTCATATGTGCCTTCATATTCATTCAAATTTAAGTTCTCCTCTTGAGCTGGTTAAATTTGCAGCTTTTATAATAGTTTTGGGAATGTACATACCTTACAAAGTATTGGTATATTCAAATAAGTTTATTTTCTGTAAAGTTATCAGGTTTTATGCATGTTGTAGGTTAAAATCCATCTTAACATATACCTTAAAAGGCTGAATTTGTAAGAAATTATTTAGAAAATGATTAATGGTTACAAGTTTCTCTATAATTAAAATTTAATTCAAGAAAATAAATGTATTATTAAAGATAACATAGCTCAAATGTCTCAAATACATACCAACAGTGATCATTATATAAATCACTGTTCTCGCCCTGTAACATCCAGCACAGCCCACACACAAATTAATATGATAACTGATTGGGCAGGTTTATATCTGTATTTATCTATATCTTGTTCCCACATATATTTTCATCTCTTCAGTACAGTGCCTCTTCTTATGCTTTTGAAATCATATTTTTGAATAATTTTGGACCTCCTTTTTCTTTTAGAAGTTCCAAACAACTGATTGCAATCAATGGGATCTGATAGTAATTAACACATCTGAAAAATCAGGCATTTGCAGGATCCCCTGAGTCCATCCTCTTACACTGTGAAAGCCACTGCATAATGAACCTTACAATTAGTGCAGCCATATGCTCTTTCACATTCAGACCTGAGGACACCAAAGACAATCTCAATCAAAATTGCCTTTTATTTCAAAAAAGGAACCATACCTTCAGAATTCTCTAATCCAGAGAGTTTACCTCTGTCTGCAGAAGTCCCATTTTCAGCTGGACTCTAAACCAGGGTACTGCTACATGACACTTGGATGTTGAAAATAGTAGAAAAAGATAGAAAATCAGGCCAAGACCTCAATCTTCAGCAGACTATGAACACAATTTCTACCAGCAGCTTAAATTCCCTATGAAAAAGTTTTGGAAACTGAAACCAACATTCTCATTTTCTTCAGAAAAAAATTGGGATGCCTCTCTCTAGAAACCTCAGGTCTTCACGCTTTCAGTGATAGAGACATTGCACCCTGGGGTTTGATGCAACAGGGTGGAAAGGTAAGGAGGAGGAGGAAAGGTAAATAAGGACATTCCAAACAATAGGTCCATTTTGAATATACCATCATCAGTACACTTGTTTCTGCTTTCTTCAATCTTTTTTGGTATTCTTGTACCCAAACTAAATACCATGAAACCTGAAGAAACCCTTCTGACTTACAGGCTTGCTCCTGAATGATAGACCATGACAAATGACAAAGTGAGTGAGAACTTAAGTGACCACAACTCATTAGTTTTGTTGTAACAGCAGCTGGTTAAGATGTGACCAACCAATAAATGCAAGGTGCATAACAGATAAATAAACAGCTTATTTGGGGAAGTACAGCTTCCCTGTGTGCCTGGGGACTGTCTTCTTCAGTGTTGCTTCTGGATTTTGTACACTTCAGCTAGTTAGTGATAATCTCTGATCTCCTCTACTCTCTGGAATCTTTTGAGGTTCAGGCTCCTCCACCAGGAAGAGCCTGAAGCAGTTCATTTCATTCAAAATAAGGGATCTGGCAGTGGTCCAGAGATGTCCACAAAAACTCAGAGGATTTGACTGCTAGATTTTGTTTGACAGTCAACAAAACTTTGCTCTTGTATGCAACACAAGAACACACACAAACAGGAAAAGCACTGATACCTCCTCATAGAAAGAACCTATGATATTGAATTACCTTGATTATTTCCCTTGATAAAGTTTGAACTCACAAGCATGACTGTACTGGCCTTTCAACAGGAGCAGTAGGCTTAATGTTTATTAACATTATGCTACACTTCCACATTAATTTATGCATGCTTGCCTGGAGACATATTAGGATTCTGTAAGTATACTATTGAAGACCAGTGTGCTGGCAAATTGTGTGTGTACGTCTTTTCCTACTTGCCCAAAGGCAGTTAGATTTCAATAATGAATGTAGCATCCATTCATCATTTTTCACTTATGCACTTTTTCTAATTATATGGCTAAAAAATTGCTGACAGACTCTAGCTTGGTTGACAAGCCTTAGTTTTGCTAAGAATACATGCTTTCTATACTCCCATATGAGACAAAATATACTTCTAATTAATTTTAATAGAACCTTTTGATGTCACAATCCAAGCAGTCAGTACATGGAAACAAATTTGGGAGGAGTATCCTCTTAATTGAGGCAATAGTGACAATTTAACTGATGTTCAGTTATTTTGGTAGTTCATCTTAAGACATAAAAACCTCATCTGATTGTCATCTTTTATATTTTTTTTGCCAGCCATATGGATGTAACTCACAGACCATTTCCCTCACTGTCTCTGACACACGCATATACAAACACATACAAATATATGACTATTTTGGACATTATCCCCTACGTGA